ACCTATCAAAGTCTTACCTCTTCAGTTCAAAGTACATGAGAATTTCTTACTCTTTTCTCATCTATGTAATTAATATGCTCCCACTGTGTTTTAAGGATAAGGGTAGATGCTGGCTTATGGAAATGTGTTAGTTATTCTTAAGGAACTTATCAAAGTGCACTAATTCCTCATTCGTCTTTTTGTTTTGTCATTTCTGAAATCAGTAAGCGAAAACATTTGTGTAAGGTATTAACATGTGTTTCAGAAACAAGTATGTTAAATTACATATTTTTCACTTTTAAAGAACTAATCCAAACTTCAGGCACATTTCAGCTCAATATTGTCTTTGATATTTACTCCTTTCTGTCTTCTTATCTTCTAGATCCCATGTCTCTCACTTTAGGGGAGGAGTTGGCACACTTTTTCTACAAAAACAACATTAAATACTATAGGTTTTTGGGCCATATAATCTTTGACACAATCACACAATGCTACTGTTCTAGGTAAGGCACTCATAGATAATACACAAAATTTCTAAGTTCCATAAATCTTTACTGGTGGATACTGAATTTTGCAATGAATATCATTTTCAAATATCTTGGTTATTATTCTTTTACTTGTTTTCAGCTCTTTAAAAATATAAAAACAATCCTTAATGTGTAGGTTGTGTAAAAACAGGCATTAGGCCAGCTACATTTTAAGCCTTAGGGACTCATCAATCTGTCCATAATTTTCCATTGGTTGCCTCTATTATTGATAATAACATTATTTTACAGGATTTTTTTTATCCCTTCTACTTTCAACTGCTAAAAAAAAAAATAACATACAGCAGTTAGATCAGGAAACCAGAATGAAAGAAACTGAGGTTCTGGTCCTACTTGGAGAGTTCCATTTTTTGACTAGATAAACTGGATCACTTCATCTGGAAAGTCAAAATTTTCAAGTGTGGCTATTAATTAAGCAGTTCTACTAAATGTTGAAGGAGAGAGAGCAGGAGAACACACTTGTATGTTTCAGAGCAGCCATCGTGTGTGCTGTTTCCTGTGTCACAGCACGTAAGTGAGAAGATGAGTATTTCTGAATTGTGGCAGAGAAGAAAAGCTAAGCCTAAGGGTGAGATCGAGGGGACTGAGCACAAAACACGAAGCCTCGTGGCTTTCCTATGTGCCTACTATTGCAGGAGACGTTTGGTTTGGGGGGTCTGTAAAAATGTTTTCTTCTTGAAGTGTAACACTCGGAGCCAAGACATCGTCAGTTCCAGGCTCAGTCAGTTCCAGTTGCAAGTGTGAATGTTCAGCAAGAGGATATTTTAAAAAGGAGACTGAAAATCTTCTGTGCCAGAGACCTGAAATGTTGTTAGGGTATTCAGTGGAAAATTTCATTTCCACATTATAAATAACTGTAGGATATTTTAAGGGATCCAAGACTAGTAACTTCCAAGAGCTGCTTATATTAGTTCCACTGAAATGTTTAATGGAGGGAGTATGTGAGGAAGGCTGTAAAGCTGAATTACCGGATATGATTAATTAAAATAAATAATCTCACCATTGATTAAATTGCCCTTAAAATCCCCAAACATTGAGGCCTGCACATTTTACTACACACCAAGGGAAACAAAGGACAAACCAGCAACTGAGAAAGTAGAAGTGTCCAAGACGATTTCTTAAATTTCAACAGCCTCGGGAATTCTTATACAAGAGAAGTGCCTGTGGTCAATGCCTGCATCTGAAATACTGACTGCTTCCCACCGGAGTCCCCTGCCCCCTGGACTTTCTGGGAGCAGGACAAGACCACAAGGTGCCAAATCACTCATCCTGGAATTTCGATTTCCCTTTTACCACAGAAGTAATCCATTTCCTGGAGTCGCACTCCTCTGCAACTTGCGGCCCCACACGTTAAAACACAAAACACGCCAGAGATCTCTGTTAGGAGTGGCACAACGTGCCGCCAATAAAACTCGGAAGGGAAAGCGCCAGGCTTGTGTCCCTACGCAGATACGAGGGTGCTTGTGAGTGAGGGTGTAAGGCTGGAGGAGAAAGGATGAAGTCCCCCATCCCCCCGACATGTTTTCTTTTTTTCTTTCTGTTTTCTTTTTTCAGTCGCGGGGGCAGTCTGTCTTTCCTTTCGTGCGGCTAGGGGAGACCTGTGCACGCACCGGGCGCAGCCGTGCCGGGGTTAGAGCTCTCCCCTGTGACGGAAAAGATAATTAAAAACCGCACGCGCAGGAGATGGCTTCGTTGGGTCGCTGCGCTCCTGGTTGGTCCGGATGAGCGGCTTCCCGCAGCCCCGGGCCGTCCCGTCCCGACCCGCAGGCCAGTAGGCCGCGCGCGAGGAGTAGGTTTGGACGTGGGTGTCATAACGGGCGTTGCAGCATCGCTTCTGAGCGCCACCGAGGCTGGGGGGCAAGAGGCGGCCTTGGGAAGGCCGACGAGGCGGGAGGGGCGCGGCCAGGAGGCTTCGGTCTGAGGTGGGATTTGGGGGGGAAAGGTGGGAACGTGGAAAGAAATGTGGATTAAGGGAAGGACGAAGGTGGCATTTACAGTTGTGGCTAGGGAAAGGAAAGGTCAAAATAGACCCCAAGAGAAAGGACGACAGTGACCGTCGTCACCGTGTGAGAGCGCCGGCTTGGTGACCTCCTGAGGCTCCACCTGAGCCCCCAGCCTTAAGACCCAGGCCGTCCTGGTGTGCAAGCCCTCATTTTGTGCTTCAACTGGGTTCCCGAGTCCCAAATGGCTTCAGGACCCTCTTCCTGTCTGCCTACTCAAGGGCACAGACCCGGAAACCCACACTTGAAAAGGAAAAAAAAAGTAATAAAACCCACTCTGTAGAAGGGTCGTGCCAGATCGCGCCATAGGGAGGGGGTGCTTACCCTGATTAATAAAAATACCAATTAATGGAAATGCTATCGTTTTAAAATAAGATGGGAGGAGGTGAGTGAAGACCCAACTATCTTATTTCCTTAATGCACCAAGAGGAAGGCGTGCTAATCTTTAATAAAATCACTTATCTCTGTGTCAGCTACCCTGTTAGGGTTCTTTGAAACTCTGACAACTGATGAGTCTGTATGCAACGTTTTCAAGCTTTGCATGACTTACAGGAGCTTCAAAATAAACAAGAAACGCAGCAGCACAGGGCGGCGCAGAGGGTGCGGCGGCCTGTGCCTGCTGGTTGCGGGCGCAGCAGCCTCCAGCGCATTGCCGGCTTCTGCGGGCGCCGCACATTGTTTTATTTGTTTTGAAGGCTCCGAGCTTGAGGCCGGTCGGAGACACCCACGTGCTTCTGACGCTCATCAGCGTAATGATCGCTTTAGCCAGAGTCGTGTCTATATAAACCACAAAAACCTAATCATTAGAAATCCCAGCCTCCGAAAACCACATTTTAGGTAAAAACTGCCGCTTTCCCCCTGCTCGCTCCTTCATCCTCTCGACCACAACGTTTTGGGGGAATCCAAAGTCGCTTTTCAAAACCCACTTTAGGAAAGAAATACATAAATAGTCATTGAAGCATTTTGCATTTTTATTTTGTGTTTTTAACCTATGTAGCTTTTTACTGCAGCAGCGGAGGGTAAAAAGTGAAGCCAGACGTAGGTTTAGAATCAGAGGAGACCTAATAAGATTGAAATTCATAGAACCTTGCCGGAGTCTACACCCCTGCAGGAATTTTTGCCACTTATTTTAATCACCAAGCTGACAGTTCCCCAGTTTTTAAGAAACTCGTCCTTGTTTTTCTGAGAATGACAGAAAGGAATATAAAGGGCGGGGGGATGCTCAGCCATTCAGTTGAGTTTCTAAAAACCAGGGACATCCACCGCCCCCCTTATTTTTGGTGTCACTTAAGACAAAAACCCAACCAAATCCTTCTAAAATCTTTGCTCTTCCCGGGAGCCGCTCGGGCAGAGGTGGGGGGCGGGGTGGGGGCGGGTGAAGAGTGCTGAGAAGTCGGCACAGAAGCTCAAGAATTTTCCTTCCCCCTCTCCTGAAGTTACCACGAAAAAAAAAAAAAAAAAAAGAACAACAGTCAGATCAGCCGGCGGCTCTCTGACGGCTCAGCTTCCAGCTCGTCCGACCCCGAGGGGGGTTCCTAGTTCTGGGGGTGGGGTGGGGGCGCGCAGGAGGACGCGAGCAGCCGGGATCGCCTCCGACCGGGTCCCTGGGAGCCGCCTCCTCGGCTGGGGCTCCTTCTCGCGGTGCCGGCGGGCGGCGGCGGCGGCTGCGATTCGCGGGCTCGAAATCCGTTGCCCCGAGATCCGCTGCCCGCGACTTACCTCCTGGCACCTCGAAGCGCCAGGGACGGGGGGAGCTTTGCAAATAGCAGGAGGGAGTGGATGCGAGGAGGTGGCGGTGAGGGACAGAGAAGACAAGAAGGGAAAGGAAGCAGCCGAGCCCGGCAGCCGCCGCGGGAGGAATCTGAGCGTGCCGCCGGGCCGCGCGGGGGGAGCGGCGGCCGGCGCGGAGGAGGCGGCGGCGCGGGAGGGCGGCGGCGCGGCCGCCTGCGGCTGGGTAGCAGCGCGCGACGCGGCGGTGGCGGCCGGCGCGGGCCAGTGCCGGCCCCGGGGCTGGGCTGCTGAATCCACTCGGCTCCACCGCTGGACTCGAACTGGGAGGGGGCGCCAGCGCACCCCGGACGCGGCGCCCCAAGGGACCCCCCGCTCCACGCTGCAAACTCAAGCCCCTTGCCTCTGCGGGCCAAACACACCCCCGCGCCCGTCCGCAGCTGCCACCTCGGGAGGGGGCTGTTCCAGAGGCTCCGGCACCACATCTGCGCCTCCGGCTTTACTCCCTGCTCGCCACCCCAGCTGCGCCGCAACGCCACCACTTGGCCCCCCTCAGACTCGGCCGGGGCAGTCGGCTTCAACGAACTTGATTTCTCACCTCCTCAGCCCCATCACCTCCATCCCTTTCCCACCCCACGTCTCGCCTCCACCCCCCCAATTTCCTCCTCCTCGCCCCTCATTTCCACCCTCCTCCCCCTCCCCCGGCCACTTCGCTAACTTGTGGCTGTTGTGATGCGTATTCCCGTAGATCCGAGCACCAGCCGGCGTTTCAGCCCCCCCTCCAGCAGCCTGCAGCCCGGCAAGATGAGCGACGTGAGCCCGGTGGTGGCTGCCCAACAGCAGCAGCAGCAGCAACAGCAGCAGCAGCAGCAGCAACAGCAGCAGCAGCAGCAACAGCAGCAGCAGCAGCAGGAGGCGGCGGCAGCAGCGGCGGCGGCGGCGGCTGCTGCAGCGGCGGCCGCCGCGGTGCCCCGGTTGAGGCCGCCACACGACAACCGCACCATGGTGGAGATCATCGCCGACCACCCGGCCGAACTCGTCCGCACCGACAGCCCCAACTTCCTGTGCTCGGTGCTGCCCTCGCACTGGCGCTGCAACAAGACCTTACCCGTGGCCTTCAAGGTAAGAGGCTCTACGGCCGCCCCCCGCCCCCGGCCGGGCCCCGCGCAACCTGCCCGCCGCCGCCTCCGTGCCCACGGGGGGCCGGGCCCCCCGACCTCGTCCTCTGAGCCCTCGTACCGGGGCGACTCTGACCCAGGGGGGACCACCCCCTTCTCCCCCGGCTGCCCCCTCTCTACCTCAGGCTGCCCGGTCGTGCTCGGGGAGTAGCCGCCGCGCGCGCTAATTCCTCCCTCGCCCACCTGTGTCCGCGGCTGCCACGACCTCTGCCCCAAGCCCCCCTGACCCATTCGTCACCCCGCCAGTCTCCCAGCCTCCGTTCGACCCCGCTCCTCTGAGGCGCCTCCCCTCCCCCCAGGAGCCCTGAAGTGTCCACTCGCTGCACCCCGCCCCCTGCCCCGGGCAGTCTCCCGGGACTCCCGCGTCTCCCTCCCTGGGCATCCCGGCCTGTCGGACGCCGAGGGCAGCCCGTGTCGCCTCCGTCCGGGATCCCAGCCACTCGCAAGCCCTCCTCTCCCAAACACGGGTCTCCACATCCCCTTGCCCTGACCCGCTTGGTGCTCAGCGAGCCCCGGCCCCTCCCGGGCTCGGGCGGGCGGGGGGCGGGGGGCGGGGGGCGGCGTTTGCGGGGTGCCGGCGACCCCCGCACCGCCGTCCGGGGCTGGAGCAAGCAGCTGGGGGCGACGCGTGGGCCGCGCTACCTGAGCTCCGGAGGGTCGCGAGCCAACCCGAGGGCGCTGGATGGGGGCGTCTGCTCTGCCCGCCGACCCGCGCCGGCTCCCGTTACCGGGGGGGAAGGCGGGGCCACCAGGGTGTCCGCGCGCCCTGAGGCGGGGAGGTCCGGAGTCCGCGGGGCGCGGGGCCGTGGCGTGCGGGGCGGCCGGGGTAAGGGGCCGGGGGCTCGGCCGCCTCACGGGCCGGGACCGAGCTTGCCCGCCCGAGAGGGATGAGGGGAACTCGTCAAGTACTTGGGGTTCGTCAGACTGGAAAACTGAGGTGAAATTTTTGGACGGTGTGTTTTCGTTCTCACTTGTGTTCTGGAGGGATTGAGAAGCCTAAAGACCACGGGTGCTTCTGGAGAGGTCGCGGCGCGGGCGCTGAGGGGTCGAGTCCCGGTGACCCGAGCGCGGCCTCCTCCGCACCGCCGGCCCGTTAGTCGGAGGGCGAGTGGCAGCCGCTCGGCAGGTACCGCGGCTGTAGCGTCCCCAGGCGCTCGCTAACTCGATCCAGATTTCCCGGCGCAGCCCTCGCCAGGGGGAGACGCGGAGCCCCGGGGCGGGCGCTCCCTGGCAGCACCTCTCCGGCTGCCCACCCGGCCGGGCCAGACCTGCGCGGGGGCCCACGGGCGGACGAGCACGCTCCCCAGATTTCACAGCCCTTGCTCGAGTAGGTGGGCCTGGCCCCCTGGGCTGTGGGATCTGTAGGGAGCAGGGGAGTCAGCAGAGGCCTCCCGGGAGGAAAAAAAAAAATACTGAAAAGGGAGGAATCGTGCCAACCGCTGCTTGATGAACCCCTGGGCTAAACTCCCACAGGCCACTGGCAGTTCCCGGTTGTTGATCACCCCCCCCCACCCCACGCACCAATTCAGATTCCGTGTGTGGGTGGGGTGGAAAGAAAGGAGCCCAGGTCAATTAGAGCTGGTTATCTCACTAACTCTGTATCAGAACAGAAATCAGAATGAATTGTTGTGGAAAGGGGATGTTGCATTCTGGGGCAAGTTTCATTTTGCAGTTGGCCCAAGAAACCTTTTTTTTTTTTTTAAACCGTCACATTTCTCCTTTTATAAACCACCCAATTTTTATAGGGTAATGTTCTGTTTCTTGCAGCATAAAAATCACAGTACATGTGAATTATAGAAAATTAAATTTCCATACAGGAGATATCTTCTACACGGTACACCATTCAAAGGCCCAGAATTTTCTAATTAGCCCCATGGGACCATGGGAATTTGTGTCCAATCCCCTCCTCCCGCCAAAGTCCCCAAAACTAGACCAAAAAGCCTTGTAGGAAGAAAAAAAAAAAAACAGCAAAAATGGAGAAACTGCAGGCACTTTGCACAGTACAGGACTTTGCACTTTGCAGATCAGGTTATGTGAAAATAAAGGGATAGGTGTTTATGTTTGTAAAGATATGCAGATGTTGAAAGTTCTGTGTGCTCTTCTGCCAAATATGTTTGGGGCTTGCCTGTCTTGAACTGTTAGGTTTATGATGCTGAATAGTATTCTGAATGGAAAGGACATTTTTCGCGTAAAGGTAAAATGTGATTTAGTTTGAGCTATTTGGATACTTTCATTCCCTAGATTTTCTCACTATGAGCCTTTGAGAAGGTTTTGAAAATAGATTTCTTTGCGATTCATCATACTTGTTAATTATGCAGAGTCCATTTTTGTTATTTTAACCAGTAAACCGAAAATAGATAACACAAGGCCTTAGTAAGTTGAGCATTTTAATTCATATTAACTGAATAAGGAATTTAGTTATCGTAAAACTTGACTTTCACCCCATACCTGTGTTGAATGGAATTAAACAAGTGGGAGGATAGCTGAAATCTCCACAATGCAGTTTCTTTTGCTGAAAAAAAAAAAAGTGTAGTTACTTCAAATATTCACATTTTCCCACAACAGTTTTGTCTTTTCCACCTGAATGGTGTAAAAACGCCCTTTCTTTGCCTTACTTTTGGATTTAAAGTTAGAGAGCAGCAGACTTTCCACACTGTAGCAATGTAATCAAACACATCTGCAGTGAAGAAATTGTGTGAAGACGTCTCCAATTTAGAAGTGGTGACAGCAGTTTGGCTATTCTATTTAGAGCTATGTACAAAATAAATTGGAGTATTGGATGGATAGCAGATAGGTGAATGCACACACACACACACACACACACACACACACTGAGGACTTAATTGTTGTGAAGTCTGATATCCAAATCAATACAACATGGATTGAGTCTAGTATTCTATGCCGGTGACACTCAACTTGGCACTGTTCTGAGACAATCAGAAATGAATTTAGTAGACTGTGTTTTTATATGCTAATATAAATAGAGCTTCAACATAATGCTAACAGTGCATTACATTAAGAACTAAGTGATTATGAATATTGCTCATTTGATCTTATTTGGGGATGATTAAAAAGTACTCATTTTCAGTAGATATGTAAAAATGTAAAAGCCAGCCAGTGTACTTGACACCTTTGTAAAGTTATTTATCTGTACAGTGTTTTTAGCAAAGTGCTGCAGTTTTGAAATGTCCAGTTCCCCCAGGTGTCAAGGAAATGGAAATATTTTTAACATTTCTTTCAGGTGTATCTCACTGAAAGCTTAAAATAGTGAAGGCATGCTATTAGGAGGTCCCAGGCCCCTGCTGTCCTAGGTGATTCTAGTGACAAAGAAGCTATTTTGCAAATGCGACTCCTTAGCCGAGGGGTCATTTAAAAATAGTGGAGGAAACATGGACTGTGTCCAGGCTGCCTCTTGGAGGCCTTTCAGTGAGGGGTCTGTCAACATTTCCACTAGAAGGCTGATGTTGGGGTTCATAACTAAGTGTCTTTAAATAGATTAAACTAATACACCATGCAGAAGTTTTTAAGTCCAGAGGTATGTTTTAAGACTAAAAGTAGTGTAAGCCTATTGTACTGTCTTAAGTTACAGAACACTGGACAGTTGGTGTGAATCATCCATTTTCCTGACAATATTAAGGGAAGAAGGCACATTTTTAGATTTATGATACAGTACTTGTAGCTGATTTTGTATCTTTAATAAGAACTTTCAGTATTGTTACAAGGAGGGTTTCAAAATGACAGAGCAATTTCTATTTGAAAATACTTTTTGACATCATTGGCCATTTTCCTCTTCAAAAACAATTATGCAACTAGCAAATACTAAACATTGGTGAATTATATTTTCCCTTGTGTATTTAACGATTAGTTTTCATGTTTGTATGTTTTAAAATCCAATTATATTCGAACAGTGGGAAATAGGTACCAAATCTGTTAAATCATCAGTAAGCTCAATACAAATTACTGTGCAAAACTGAGTAAATCAAAGGAGATTTTAAAATTATGTGAAAAAAGGATGCATTTTTGTGTCACGGCTTAAAAGCACCTGCAGTTAAATATTTTTGGGTTTAATATCTAAATAAGGCAGCCAAAACAAGAAATTTTAGATGAAAAATCAATATTTAAAACATTTTTTAGAAAATATGTATGTAAGAAAAGTGTGGTAGATATCTTTCATTGTTTTTCTCCCCGTTGCCATCTGTATGTATGTCATTTCAAATTCTAAAATATATAAATGATGTATTTATTTTTTCTCTCTGGAATTCAAATGGCTTTTTTGTAAATCTTGGATTAAGTTCTAAAAATTAACTGTAGTATTTGTCAAAATATTTTTTTCTCTATTTTATGGTACAATTCCATAGGCTCTGGGATTTTCCCTACCCCTTCCCAAAATCCCTCGCTGCAACTGATTTCTCCCATATTATTACAATAGTGTAGTCCTTCTGTCAAAGTATTTTAAAAAATTTATTTATCATTATCTTTAAATAATTACCATAAACATACCATTTCTGCTTTTTGCAGTTAGTCTCATTTATTTTTTTACTGGATTTTTATCGGATTCTGGCTTAAAAAATTAGATTACAATTGTACTGCAAGTGCAATGTGCCAAATGTTGTTGGCCTGTAAGAGTAATCAAGTAGCTAAGGATAAATTTCTACCATGAAAATGTAGTGGACAGTTTTAATTTCCATGTGATAAGACTATAGAAACCCTCTAAAGGGTCTGAGTTAAGTCTCCATTGGTTCTCTTTGGAATAGTTCATGTTAAAGTCGTAAGGCGTCTCATGCAAGACTTCAATAGCATTGCTCGAGTTAAGGATCCCTTTATTTCATTCAGGGTGCATATCATGTGATGAGGTGTGCTAAAGTAAAGGACTTTCTGTTCTGTAATGGTAACACTGAAAGTTACTTCTCCCTTTCCCATTAAATTGCTTGAATTTGTATGCCTTATATTTTAAAAAGTCCTAGGAATGTAATTGTTAAGGTTTTGCTACAAAATCTGATTTTGCATTGGGTTACAGATACAAACTTTAATTCATGCCTGCTCCTAACTGAACAGCGATTTTTAACTGTGTTTTACCCCTTAGTATGCTTTTTCATTGCTTGGATTTGGTACAGATGAGATGTGCAAAGAATTTTTGATTCTTTTGGTTTTCTTTTAGATAAACACAATTGAGAATCTCCAAGGGAAACTTTTTAGTTTCAGAGGTCTACATCCAAAAACTTCTCAAACATGTAATTATAGTTCCAATGGATGTTGAGTCAAATACAGTACTCCCCTCATCTCCAACACATACTTCCCCTCTCCTCCCAGAAAAACATTGGGAGTTTGGCTTCGTAGGGTGAATTACAGGAGAAAAAAAAAGCTATATATATTTGTATCTATATATCTATATATACATCTGTTAAATCAGAATTTGCGCATAACAGGAAAGACTGTTGCTGTATTGTTTAGCTTTTTTACTTTTTCAGGCCAAATCCTAAACCTTACAGGAGACTCATATAACTTGTGATTATCTATTTGTTTTGCTAAATGTGATACATGAAACTTACCACTGATTAATATGATCATTTTTATGCTACTTAGGCAAAGTGAAATGGATTTATATTTTTCCCTCTTAGGGATCTTTTTCCCATATTTTCTCATATTGAATCAATTTTCTTTTTTTCTTTCTAAAAAATATCCATTATGTTAAAAATATGCAGAAAAATGATAATGTCCTAGAGCTGTTGAAAACTTTGATACTAGGACAGATTTCTCTTTTGTTTGTGAGATTTAGCTAGATGGGAATAAAACCCACCAACAGCCTTCTTGTACCTCCCCAACACTGAAGAACATAGTAGGATGTGGCATGAAGAATCCTATGTTCAGGCGAACCCCGTGAGGGTGCGTATGGTGACAGCCTGTGCTCAGCAGGCAGTGGATTTGGAACAAAATATTGCTATCCTTCTCATGGTACAAAAAAAAAAGCACATCGTTATAAATTACACTTTGCTTCCACATCTTAGAGATTTAAAATTTTATTTTGCATTTATGTTGAAAGGCTTTGGTTCCTGGAGACGAAGTTATTTGTGTGAGGTTGCAGCAAAGTGGGGGAAAGAAGTGGATCGCCTTGATTTTTAGTGTAACCATTCTCATACAGAACGGCTTTTCTTCAGTTCTTACTCATATACTTACTGGTTCCATATTTACTTTGACATAGAAAGCCACACAGCAGGTGTTAAAACACAGTATGCTGTGTGCACAAAATGCCTACCATCCAGATGAATACTGGCAAAGGTGGTCAATTGTTTTAGTATTTTCAAATGTTGGCAGTTTTGGCATGATGCAGTTAAAACACTGAAAAACACGTTGCTTCTCTCAGGAGTGCAGTGCTAACTGTGGCACCAGGTCAAGGATGCAGAGGAGAAATTGTCCTAAGGCATTTATAAATCCTGACCCAGGAGACCTCTCAGACTGAGGTAGCCCAAGGATAGTCAGCATGATTCGCTCTCCTCTGGGAAGTCAGAAACCAGAGCAGGCACACAGCTGTTGGGGACAGATGCTGACCTGCAACTCCTCTCTCTCTCTTAGCATTTTAGCATTTTAGCTGATAGCTCCCTAGACTCCTAGCTGTGGGCAGAGGTACTCTTTTATGGATCTCTTTCATTTACTCATTTCAAACGTGTTTATCAAACACCTATGTTCTGGGCACTGTGTGGGGCACATATATCACCAAGATGAACAAGATGAATAAAGGCCCTTCCCTCGTGTAGTTTCCAAACTAATATAATAATGTGTTCTTCTAGGAGTGAATCCCTCAGCCTTAGGTATTTCAAGATAGTAGACAGATACATGCATATATATGTTGAAATGATGCTCACTGCAATCTTAGTTGGATGCTGTGGAAATTGGGTTTGATAAAGCAAAGCTTTGCGGTTTTGACTTGAACAACAAAATGCAAAGTACAGATAGCAAAGTAACAAATTCAAGTAACAAGGAAAGAATGGGACTGAGAAATAGCCTAAAAAAAACCCTGAAAGTGACAAAAGTACTGATGGAATTTTTTTTATTTGCCTGTTTTCATGTTTGGAGGAGAGGATGTGGTGGCCGGGTGGTGGGGAAAGCTAGGTTCATGGATGGGGAAAATTTAGCTACAAAATGAAAACATGGTGTCTGTTTTATCATACTGTAGGAGTTTTCTTTTTTGTTTGTTTGTTTGTCTTAAAGATTTATTTATTTTTATTGGAAAGGCAGATTTACAGATAGGAGAGACAGAGAAAGATGTTCTATCTGCTGATTCACTTCCCAAATGGCTGCAAGGGCTAGAGCTGAGCTGATACAAAGCCAGGAGCTTATTCCTGGTCTCTCATGTGGGTGCAGGGTCCCAAGGCTTTGGTTCATCTTCCACTGCTTTCCCAGGCCACAAACAGGGAGCTAAATGGGAAGTGGAGTAGCCAGGACATAAACTGGTACCCATAAGGGATGCTGGCTCTTGTAGGCAGAACATTAGCCATTTCAGCCATTGTGCCAGCAACTGTTTTAATGAGCATCTATGTCAGGTATTTTGGGAGCCTAGGATTAAATATTTGAGTTTGTCTTCTGGGAATCTTGTTCAAGAATAGAATAGCACTGGAAGTAGAGATACATGGGTATTTGTCAGATAGATAAGCACATCTGGGCTATCAATGGGAATAGAAGGCTACTTTAGCTTTAGCTGGAAACAGTGCTTAGAAAGCTAGAGGGCGTTTGAAAGCTCAATAAAGAGATAATCAGTAAAGGAAGATAGTTGATTTAAAGTACTGTTGTTGAGGTGTAATCTCGTAACAGTGGACTAAGAATAGTGTGTTTTATAGCACATATGGCCTAAGATTTTTTTTTTAATGAAAAGAGAGATTTTTGAGTGTCTCTCCCTCCTGTTTTGAGAGGCACCCTACTTCCCGGCGTTCTCTCTGAGGTGCTTCCCCTTCCCTCTCCCTTTCCTGCTCACCTGGTCCCTTCGCAAATAAATAAACTTCTGTCAAAAAAAAAAAAAAAAGGAAAAAGAGAGAGAGAAGGAGAGATATTTTTTGGCTCCATTTTCCTTGAACTTTTGGAAGTACCATCAATATGGCTAAGGGGTCTGCACTTTCCAGATTCTGTGCTAATCAGAGGGACACATTGTTAAGTTACCAGACATAAGTTAAAGTGTGACTCTTCATCTGGAGTCTTAGTCTTATTAGCTTCAAAAACTGGTTCTATTGGATCTTTACTTGACTGAGTTAACTTGTATTAGATTAACTTTAAAAATATATATATATTTATGTTCGCGAAGGACAGAGTTACAGTTAGAAAGAGAGGTCTTTTTTCTGCTGATTCACTCTCCAAATGGTAACTACTGCCAGAGCTGGGTTGGTCTTAAGCCAACAGCCTCTTCTGGGTCTCCCAAATGGTTGCAGGGGTCCAAGGATTTGGGGCGTCTTCTGCTAGTTTTCCAAGTGCATTAGCCGGAAGCTGGATCAGAAGTAGGGCAATCAAGACTAAAGTGCATCCATATGGGATGCCAGCATTGCTGGTGGTGGCTTTAATCCACTACGTCATAGAATTGCCACCCAGATCAACTTTTTTTTAAAGATTTATTTACTTTTACTGGAAAGTCATATTTACAGATAGAAGGAGAGACAGAAAGATCTTCCATCTGCTGGTTCACTCCCCAAGTGGCTGTTAACAGCTGGACCTGAACCAATCCAAAGCCAGGGGCCATGAGCTTTTTCTGGGTTTCCCATGCAGGTGTAGGGTCAGTCACAAGGCTCTGGATGTCCTCTACTCTTTCCCAGGCCACAAAGAGGGAGCTGGCTGGGAAGTGGAGCAGCTGGGGCATTAACTGGCACCCATATAGAATCCCAACAATTTCAAGGTGAGGATTTAGCCACTAGGCTATCTTGCTAGGGCCCCGATTAACTTTTCAAGACTAAGGGCAGCTTAGAATAGAAGATAAACAGCAGTATTTCAGGATAAAAGTGTAACTTAGTCGTTGATGATTTCCAGTTTGGCCTATAGCTTTGTTGTGCACCTAAGCTTGTAAGCTTCTTGATGACTTTGGCTATCTTACTGTGGGTGGATATTTTGTTTGTAGAGTCATTAAAAGCTAAAGATGTAACTCAAAGTAAGGAGACAGTATGTAGACTGTATCACTGTTTTAAAGATTTATTTACTTATTTGAAAGGCAGAGTTAGAGAGAGAGAGAGAGGAATCATCCATCCATTGGTTCACTCCTCAAGTGATTGCAGTGGCTCAGGCTGGGTCAGGTGGAAACCTGAAGCCTGGAACTCTGTCTTGGTCTCCCATGTGGATTGCAGGGACCCGAGTACTTGAACCTTCTGCTGTCTTCCCAGGCACAGGCATCACAGGCGATGACTTAACCCATTGCACCACAGTGGTGGCCCTAGACCCCATTTTTTCTGGTGCTCCATGTAGTCGGGAACTCCAGGATTTCACCTAAGTCTTTGCCTATAGGGCAGGCTGGATTTTCTTTAAGCCTGTGGTCTGGTTGAGATTGTACCCAAGTGCTTTCCCAGTGGTAGACAGGCAATGCCTTTCTATGCATGCTGCAATCTACAGATGGGGCATCAACCTTCCTTTTGTGGTATAGCTGCCACGAACAACCTATCATGGGGATTTAATACAAATGTACACAAATTCTGCAAAAAAAAAAAAAAATCCAACAACAAATTCAGGAAATGTTTGCCTCCTTTTGGAATGGGTGGATCTCAGAATTTCTGTTTGAAGTGGCATCCTAAGCCAGGGACAGATGCTTTGCTTGCTATTATCGGCTGGAGCACTAAGGCCTGATAAGACATCATTTACAATGAAAGTTTGTTTTCAATCTAAGCTTTTCTAATGTGCCATTATTGCTGCTGTGTTTCCTGTTTCATGTAGGTGGTAGCCCTTGGAGAGGTACCAGATGGGACTGTGGTTACTGTCATGGCGGGTAATGACGAAAATTATTCTGCTGAGCTCCGAAATGCCTCTGCTGTTATGAAAAACCAAGTAGCAAGGTTCAACGATCTGAGATTTGTAGGCCGGAGTGGACGAGGTGGGTCTCTAAATTTTTTTTTTTAATGTGGATAATGGTATAAACACAATAGAATCCTCTGGTGAAATGTAGACTAGTCTGCATGTAAGTCAGCACCTTCTTTCACTGAGTGGAATTACTTAACATTTTATTTAAACATACCCAAACACAGTTAAGTGTTATTTCTGAGTATTTAGGCCTTTTAAAATTTGTTTTATAATATTGCAATTTTGAGCAATGTTTTTGAAAGAGCTAGCTCCTAACTACGTTTAGTGTGAGCAGTGGATGGAAGAGGAGGAAACAGTTGGAGGATCAAGTTCTGAATTAGAAGCCAAACAACCAAGTACATTGAATGGCAAAGGTCAGAAAAATGAACGCATTGGCTCCATTTCCCAGTGATAACAGTTTTGCTTTAAATTCTAGCAAGAGCAGCTAGGAACATTTTTTGTGCTTATCACATATGCTACCTCTATATCATTTAATTTTTTCTCACAATAAGAATCTAGGAAAAGTCATGCTTTTTTATTGGAATGCATTTGATTTGAATGAATGACTAATGTATCAGCTATGTGAAAGTGACTGTGTGACGTTGCCAGGACGAGTGAGTATTCTGTGTGGTGGTTCACGCTGTTTAGGGATTCCCATGATCTCAATCCATATTCAAATGTTAAGAATCCTTAAAAAGATCATAAAATAAAAAAATAATGCTTTTTAGGGTTTCCACAGCTGTTTCATAAATGGAGTTAATGTTTTTTTTTAATGGAGTCTAAGATGGCCAATATTTTGGCTTTTATTTACCTACAGAGACTTCTTTTAGTCATTTACCTATTAGAAATATGATGTACACTAGCATTTCCCTTGTATGTATGTTGATAAGAACAAGCAAAATGTACCCTTTTAGGACTGAAGTGAAATAAAATGAGAAAGTGCTATGGAATCACTGTTCAGTGTTTGAAGTATGAAATGGGAAGCACCCGTTTTGAAGCCATGTCCAATAATTGCTCTTTAGTTTGGATCAGATGTCAAATTATTACCATTGTAAAAACTTGATAAGGGAAATTCAAGCAAGGCTGTTTCCGATGAGTAGTTTTAGTTTACTTTCTAGGAACAGAGCCAAGAAGTTGTACTTTTTCACTTGAAAAAAAAATGATGCATGCTAATGAGACAGTGTCACTGAAAGGCTGTTTGAAATAAAATGAGGTGCAGAGCCTCTGGTACAATCAAAACTAAAAGAGTTATCTGTGCATCAGTTTTAGTTTACTTTCATTAAATGAAAAGAGAGAGACATCCTGCACCAGCACTGGCTGATTAGATTTGGGGTGTGTGTGTGTTCATTCCCCACCCTCTGTTACTGATGTAGGTCCACAGTACAGTTAAATTCTCTCTCTTCCTCTCCTAGCTTGCCTCCTCTGATATCTCTTTCAGAAAGAAACAGGAGAAATGTGAATATGGTTACTTACCTGTGTGCTCCAAATAGCATCTTCTTCTTAAATATTATAATTACTTTCTTTTTAACCATAGTGATGAATTTGAGTACTTAAAGGATTTGGTGCATTATCTAGCTTTGCTTTACAGATTCAAGCTAGTCTTTTTGTTTGTCTTTTTTTTTTTTTGTATATGTGTGTCATATAGATGCTGCATAGTTTATTATTTTTTTTCTGATCAATTTGAGTAGAAACTATGGCAAAGTGATAGTGTACTTTGTAAACCCTCAACATATTTATTTAAGAAACTTCAAAGAGAAACAAAGGGTGTGCACTGTTTTACTATATTGGCTTTCTGAGTTTTGGCTGGTTTCCCAAATAGCAATTTTTATATTTAAAAAAAAAGACAGACTTAACTGCTTGCAGACTTTTCACGCATGGAAGATGAAGAAAGCTTCTTTTGATGAAGTGTAATTATGTCCAAACAGAGCTGACCCCCTCCCCCTATATTTCTTATGATCTTAACTGAAGAAAGTAGGATTTTTCCTTTGAAGCAGCCGGGACTTGGTGGAGGATCTGAAATGCTACAGTCTGCTGCCAGAGGCAGGATGCAGAAATTGGTCCAGACTTGTCTTCCAGACTTAGGTTGGGGGGTGCTGGGACGGTGGGTAGAGAGAGAAAGAAAAATTGATTTATCACTAATAATAGAGTTTTTAATCACTACATGAATGTTGCATGAAAGGAAACAGTAATATCAAGGTGAAATGAAGAGGAAACAGGGGCAGGGAACACTGATAAGAGATCACACTCTTAAAAAAAAAATAAGCCAATGTTTCAGTGGCAGGAAACTCTTTAACCTGCCTTTGTACCCTTTGCACCTGACCTGCTTTATAGCAGATTCTTTCCAGCTTCCTCTTTGATTTCCACACTTCTACTTTTTTTGTAAGTGACTAAGCTGGATCAATACAGCACTACCACTGTATTTTCTGTCCCAGCGTTGATTTTTTGTTTGTTTGTTTGTTTTAGTAGCCTTAGCAAATATAGCAGTACCAAATTCTTCAAAAAGTACAATTTTTCGCTTTTCATTGGTGGGAACATAAACTCTCAAAAAAATTAAAATATTTTTATATTTGCCATGGAGTCCCATTACTTTTTACCTTGGCTTTTATGGGTTGTCCTATGGATCACAACTTTCAAAAGTGCCATGGAATGAAGGTAGAGCCTCAATGAACTTGCATTGCCTGGTGGTTTGCAGTTGTTTTTTCCTTTTCTCTCCATATTTTAAGCAGAAGAGTTTAAAATGGCTTTGGTCTTTTGTTTTTGTGCTTCCTCCCTTTTGACAGCAAGCATGCTGCTTTTTAATTTACGGCATTGTTAACCATCTGCAGTGTATAGGGCATGAGGCTTTGTCAATTTAGAATACAATCCACTCACACTGCCCTCTCCCGACTCCCGCCCTACTATTTCTGGCAACCCATCAGGCTAGATTGGAATTATCTGTCAGTGTCATTGCTCTCTTTTATTTTAGGAAATATATGACTTGAGGATGTTGTACTTTCATGATGAAGTTGTGGGTGATAGAATTAGCTATCCCAGTAAGGAATAACTCTATAAGGAAGCGCCTCCATTGATAAGAGTTTGCATACTTATCATTTATGGAAAATGATATCTATATCTCTATATATTAACCTAAGGAAATCATGACTTCCCACTTAAATATTTGACTTAAGAAATGCATCATTATTGTAGGATGGAAAACCAATTTCCAGGTTGGGCTGTAGTTTTTCAGAGGTCATTCAGTGTTATGCGTATGTTTTTTTCTAAAGGAATCAATAAGAGCAGGAGGAACCTTTTTGTCTTGTTTTAGGTTAAAGTACATCTTGATCCTGATGTTTTGATTTTGGAAGGCCATAGTTTTGCTTAAATACATGTTTCCTCCTGCAAACCCCTTCCTTTTATGAATAAGTATTTATGGAAAAAAATGGTTCCTCTCTGAACATTTAGATGTCTGAAGAGTGAATTTTAAGTTTTGCTTTGGTTTCTACATGAGGGTGGAGTTGAGAAACACATAAAGGACTTTTAAAATTCTAAATAAATTGTAAAGGTCTAAAGTAGAAATATTCGCTAAATGAGTCTAACTAAATATATGGATGGCATCTCCAATAGGTTAATTATAGACATTAAACATAATTGAGATAGACACATCCTTGATTTATTAAGTTTAGTGTCATGGATGACAAGTGCCTTCTGAATAGCTGTTGTAAATGCAGCCCTGGGTCTTGGATGGCACTTCTGGTGTTGTAATGCACCCTAACTCTCAATCTGGAGGTTTAGCTATTTCACTGTTCCAGATCTTTCCACTGTTTTTGAGATTTCCAGCTGAAACAGCAACTTCCTGCTTCCTTCTTAAGTTTTTAACCTCTGTTTTTGTAGGCTTTTAGTTTTCTGTAACTAGTTTAGACTCTTGGCTGTTTTGTTCTGCTTAATCTTCTTAATATATATATATATATTTAAAAGTGTTTGAAAGGCAGAGACACAGAGAGCAAGGCAGAGAGATGTCTGATGTCTTCTGTCTACTGGTTTATTCCCCAAATACGTGCAACAGTCATGGCTGGGCCGGGCTGAGGCCAGGAGCTGGGAATCCAGTCTGGTCCCCAGTGTATATGGAAAGGATCCGAGTACTTGAGCCGTCATTGCCGCCTCTCTGGGTTCTCATTAGCAGGAAGCTGGAATCAGAAGCAAAGATGGGATTTCAACTCAGTCTCTCTGATTCAGGACATGGGCAATCCCAAGCAGTGGCTTAACCAGTAAGCTAATTGCCAGCCCTGGTTAGTCTTAATGTTTGCAATAAATCTTCTTTTCCATATCAAATTAAGTTACTTAAGTATGTGAAATAGCCAATATATAGTGGGTAAAATTTGATATGTTAGAGATGCTTTCATCATCTTAAAAGATGACAATTGTCCATGTGTATCTCTGTTTCTTGAACACATGGTGCTGACTGAGATATGTCTAAGAGTAAATTACCCATTGTTTAAAAAATATGGGGGGGGGGCGGGGTGCAAGTGGCAGAATGGTAGTAAGTAAGACTAGTTAATTTTGGAGTTTGGAGAGCCTGGGTTCAGATCCTGATTTTCCTATTTCCTGATTGTTTAATCATAGATACATGGCTAAGCCTCTCTGGGCTTCAAGTCCTCATCTGTGAAACGGGTGTGTGTGTCATGGCAAGGCGGAAGACAATGATGTGTTTGAAGTGGCTGCTCTTAATGGGTCTCCAGTCAGAGTTCATCTTTGCATGTTCACCCCTCCCCATATCTCTACCTTTTCGTTTCTATTTTTCCTCCCTTGGCCATGGAAAAAGTATAACCAAGAAGACCTAAGATTCTACATACGTCCTCAGTAACAAATGATGTGTGTCTTAAACAGATTTTAGAAACTTTACATGGTCTGAACTGAAAAGAAAACCCCTTCACTAGACCTGACAGCCGAAGACCTGTTCCACATTAAGCCTTGTCTGTAACCTGTTCCATATTAAGTTTTGAAAAGATTGCATTAGACTTTGCATTGCTACATATTGTTTAAGATTAATACCCTCAACTCTCAGTAAAGAGAAAAAGAGTCTGACAACAACAGCAACAAAAACAAGCAAAACAGCAAAACAAAACAAAAAACAAAGCAAAACAAAAAGGAGCTTTTTAAAGGTCGGTTACAGGAGCAGACAAAATGAGGACTCAGCCCAAGATTGCTGAATGTTTTATTGAGTCACTGTTTCACGCCCACCTTTTCCTGTCTTGTAACAGTTTGCAGTTTTGACTATCTGACATGACTAACCGTTGCAAATCTAACTGATTACAACTGTCAGTGAGTCTGGGTAAGAGTCTGGTGTCTTCTTCGGGAGAAAGCAGACATGCAAGGCGGCTGCTGAACTTTTCCTCTGTCTGCCCTCCTCTTATTTTCATTGCTTTTAGCTCATTCAGTTGAAGCATCAGATGCAACATTTCAAGGAAGCACGCCCTCTGCTCAAAGTGCAGCTCTTAAGAGTTGTCATATACATTTAGCAAAAAGAGAAGAAGAAGAAGTCACTATAAGGGAGTTATTTCAAGGTTTAACAGCAGGGCTGTATGTTAGGGGAGGGGTGGACAGGGAGGAGGAAAAAAAAAACCTTGTTCCAGTAATGATGAAATCATCATACCACAGGCACATTAAGGCCAGGACAGGAGACACTGGCTCCTGTTAAAATGATTCCCATAAGAACTTTCCTCTTTCATCTTCTTATTGTAGTGCAGTTAAGCAAATGAAATGCTAAAGCCATGTGAAGTAAATAACATAATCAACAATGATTTACCATTGTTCTCTCATGGGGTCATGACCTAATCCTAAATAAAGACTTCTAAAATTGTCTGTGCTTGGATATGTTCCTCATGTTGGAGAAAGCTGAAAGGAAGAGAACCCTCAAGTGTACCGGGGTTTTGTTTTTATTACAACTGTTGCTACTGAGAAGCTTTTTTGGAAAGGGAGCCTTCTCGTATGATACTGCTATAAAGAATGTTAAGAATGGTCTCAACATTCAGTGAGTTCACAAAAGTCCTAAAGGGACTATCGGAGGGTTTCCAACTTACAGTAAGGAGTTGTGGTTCTTCATTTCACTGCCTCTTCTGAAAAAATTTAGACATCTATGAAGCTATACAGTCATCAGTATGACTTTCTTGTATTCACCATGTGTTTTTCCCCTTTTCGTCTGCAGGCAAGAGTTTCACCTTGACCATAACTGTCTTCACAAATCCTCCCCAAGTAGCCACCTATCACAGAGCTATTAAAGTTACAGTGGATGGTCCTCGGGAACCCAGAAGTGAGTACTTGCCTTTCTGTTGAAAAGGGTAAGAGTTTGTTGAGCCCCCAAGAGGAATTCATCCCAAATGAGTTAGTGTTACTCTCATGAACAAGGTGTGTCTTTGCAAAATTTGTTATCTGTGTGTATTTTTTAGTGAGGGACAGTTAGTAGAACTATGGAGTTACTAGAAGATAAAATTATAGTTTTTAACTTTTGCCACAGCATTGCTAAGGCCTTTGTAACTTTGGCAATCCAGTGAATAATTATTTACTCACTGTAACTGTTTGCTAAGAAATTCTGCTCATCCGCTGTACACAATAGACAGGGCAGACTAGACCCATGAGAGCTAAGGAGGAAAACAATGAACTTAAAAATCTCGAGCTTAGTCAAAAAGCATTTGTGTATGATTCCCATGGCCTAAGAATGTGTTTTAGCTTTTTAACTCGCCCACTCAATTCCCTTTATAAAGAGCACACTGCTTAATTACAAAGAATTTATTTGCAAATGATAACTTGCTTGATTGTTACAACACTGTTGTTTGGTCATGTTCAAGTAATTGTTATAGATAATTTCTTTTAACAGATAGAGTCAAACCAACTTTTAACCCTCTTGATTTATTTGTCCATCTGATCACCCGTAAGGTTTAACCAGCAGTCAGATTAAGATAACTGCATTGAATCTGTTTGGGCCAGTATGTATTTTCCTTCTAAAAGTAACTTGAAATAGATTTGGCTTTCCCTTCAAAACTGACTTGACCAAACTTGGCATGGCAGAACTTAAAAATATGTATAGATTAAACAGTATTTGATATATTAAAAAAGAACAGTTCTGTGCCAATGGAAACATCGTCTAGCACTCTGCATTTGCTGTGCAAATATATTAGAGTCCTAGCCTAGCCTTTGCATTTAGGGAGTTAAATTTGGTTTGTTGTAGAGGCACAGCTGGCAAAATATTGGTTCTATAGCAGTTATCTGCCTAGATCATGAGAGAGGCATGTCTTCCCCTGGTATGAGAAGCAGGTTGGCAAAGGTTTAGCTTCTCCTCTAGTACCCTGTCTTCACGCAGTGGGAATGTACAGTGGCTCCCATCCCTTTTGCTGCTGTCTCCTTTCACAAAGGCTGACTGGTTGCCTGAATTAGGGAGGTTTCCTGCCTCCAAAGCTAGTCTTTGAGGTTTTTGTTTTCTCCTTTCATGTGTATGGGCATTCTTCCAAGTTCATAACATTGGGTCAGTGCTAGTCCTGTGTTCACTTTGGGAATGTCCTATTAGGTGGTTGGTATACACATGTGTGCGGAACCCCAAATCTCAAGTCCCAGGGGCGATGCTTACACAGTGCTGGTGAACAGAGTAGAGCAGAGCTATGTGGCCTGGTTTGGGACTTTCCTTAACTTTTCTGGACTGCCATAAATCAAAGATGAGATCTTACGATGCAAGACAATTTCTAACTAGCCCTCAAGTTTCTGAAAAGGCAAGGTGTCCGTTTCAGTAGTGCAGAAAGCAGGATAGAAGTTTTCACATTTTGCACCACTAATGCTTGTCTTTGAAAGATGTTTCCGGCTGATCTCAGCTGCTCTTCTCAGTTCTTAGAAAAACCATTAATGTGTGTGTATGTCTGTGTGTGCGTATGTGAACATACACTCCAGAGCTGATGCTCAAACGGGTTTCTTTCTTTTCTTTCTTTTTTTTTTTTTTGAGGAAACAGGAAAAGGGGGGTAGGTGTTGCCCCATTCTGAAAGACATGACAAAGCAGGAGGCAGAGCAGCATTGGGAAAGTTGCTTGTGTTTCAAGTGTGGACAGCATTACCTCATTTCAAAGGGCTTTGGGAAGAGTTAATTAGTGAATAGACTCATTGCTATAAGAAAAGCTGTGAAAGCAGTGAGGGTAGGTGTAGAGAGAGTCCATGGCTTCTGTGGGACAGGAGTTCAGACTTGGGGTGGTGCTGAAGGTTGGGCGAGAGAAGCAGACATAGATCTGCAGGTGGCAGACCACCTGTCCTACATCATCCTGGGTTACATTTCTCGGAAGCTGAAAATATCTGTGGGAATGTAACGTCACTTCCCTGACATCATGTGGTCAGTTGCTAACGTCAGAATCTGAAGTCAGGATGGATCTGGTTACCAATAACGGTACTAATCTTACAACCGGGCCTCAGCGCTGGATTATTTATTTCCATCCTGCTCTTGGCCATCTTGGGGTGTTGAACATTTGTAGTGTAGCACTCTTCTCAATAATGATTAATTGTGATACTCTCCAGTGTGCAAAGCAGACAGGATTTTCACTTTTGTTCAGGAGTGAGTACTAGGGAATTTTGGTTGACTTGTATGTAACGTTGAACGAAGGAGTCTAGAACACAGATTGGCAGACTTCTGTGAAGTGGCAAGTGGTGAATAATTTTGTGGCTCACAAGGCGGTTTAAGTTACAAGCACTCACCTCTGCCCATTTTAGCGCAAAAACAGCTTAGGCTAATACATAATTGGTTGATCAATAAAACTTTATTGACAAAAATGGGGGGTGGCCCATGTTTGGCCATAAATTATGCTTTGTCAATCCTTGCTCTGGATTTCAAAGTGCCTTTTATTTTATTACCTTTTAACAGAGAAAAGCTTTAATAGAAAGGCTTTCCTGAGCAGAGGAGAAAAAAAAGATAATGCAATTGTTTTAGCTTTCTCTTTCTCTGAAATTGTAATTTCATTTTTTAAACATCTATTGGAAAGGCAGATATACAGAGAGGAGGAGAGACAGAAAGATCTTTCCTCTGCTGATTCACTCCCCATGTAACTGTAACAGCTAGAGCTACGCCAATCTGAAGCCAGGAGCCAGGAGCTCTTCCTGGTCTCCGATGCAGGTTCAGGGTCCCAAAGCTTTGGGCCGTCCTGGACTGCTTTCCCAGGCCATAGGCAGGGAGCTGGATGGGAAGCAGGTCGTCTGGGATTAGAACTGGTAATCGTATGGGATCTCAACGCGTTCAAGCGAGGACTTTAACCTCCAGGCCCATGAAATTGTAATTTCTTAAGAAGTGGCTATTTTTCTTAGAAATAGTATACTTGTATTTATTAGTGTGTTCGTTTGAAGGCAATGAGCATTTTGTACTATTGGCTGCTGTTGCTTGGATTTTTCTCCTTCCCCGAATGATCTGAGCATATCATTGAAAAGGCTGTTTTCTGTAGCTCAGCTGTCTGAACAAGGTGAAGTCACCTAACTTCTCTTTTGCTTTGGTTTTCTCACAAAAATTGATATCTTTCCCATCCATTGGTGCCAGGCTGTTGTAGGATGTGTGCGAGATGAGTAGCACTGTGACTGCCGTGCACTGAGTGCCCACTACATGTCAGATATTATTAGGTCCATTTTCTGTCATGTCAGGTTTATTGCAGACTTTGCTTATGGTATGCTTCTAGAAAGCAGATCGCATCATGCTTCTTTTCTCCAGGGTATTATTGTTTCCCTTGCAGATGACTTTACTAATTTTGGCTCAATGGTAAATGACAGTAATAATTGTTACGGATCATGCTTTGCGCAGTGATTCCTGCTTTCCAGGGATAGCTGGTGTGGAATCGATGACAAATACAATTTGCATGCAGGCCAAGATAGGATGCGATGGCACTAGTAACCCACTCTTGGAGCCCTGCTTATCAGCACATCTGCCAAGACTTGCTTTTCACTAAAAAATCCAAAAGGTTTCATCCGTCTATGTTTTCTGTCTCTGGCAGCTGAATCAGTGCTGTCACATCACAAACAACTTCTTTTCTTAATATACACATCTGGCGTTGGCAGTTGGACTAACTTCATAAGAGCACATGATCATCACTCATTACAAGATTAAAAAGTACCCCATGGCATCATTGATGTTTTTTAACTTTGATCTTCTGCAGTTGTGATTCATCTCAGTTATAAAACTTCCCTTTAAAGGAACATAGCCGATGACTTATTAGAACCTTCATCTTAAGTAGTGTAAACATGAAAACGGTGCACATCTTTGCAAAATGCCATTTATTTTCTTTGCCAGCTTATCATTTTAAGACATGACATCATACTTAAGATCCCAAATTTGTAAGTCTTGTGTTTAGGCGAAGCGTTTTGACCTTGTGTTGGCAAGTCAGCTCTGGAGACAAGTGCCGTATGTTCCCCAGCAGAAATTAGTGCAGCAGCAGTAGCAGCAGCAATGGTAATGCATTTGGATGCCTTACACTTTAAAGCATCAACTCCTATTAGGATCCCTTGTTCCACTTATGCAATTGGTTCGAACTCCAATCTGATTTAAGAAATTTCTACTGGAAGGTGAAAACTTGGTTGGCAGTGTCATGTTCCACAGTAGTAGTTCAGAGTTTAGGAAGAGGATTGATGGAAAAAGATATTGTTCACCATAAGAGGGATGGAAAAAATGAGTTATGTGGCATAGTGAGAATCCCTCTGATTTCTTGTGGTGTTTTTCATTATTTATTGCTGACAAGTTACCCTAAAATGTAACTTCATAAAACAATGACCAGTTTATTATTTCTCCCAATTTAGTGGGTTGATTTGGGTTCATCTGAATGATTTGTCTTGTGGTCTCCCTTGGGATCTGTCATGTGGCTGTTAGTCAGATGGGGGCTGGTGCTAGGACACTCAGGTGTCCGGTGCCATGGAGGGGTGGTTGGGAGTTTGAGCTCAGCTGGAACAATGAGATGGTGAGGCTTCTCTCTCTTTCCAGGTGTCCTAACGCACACTCTCCCTTCACTGTGATCTGTCCATGAGCTCTCTGTTAGCAGTGGCCAACCACTTATAAGGCATCTTAGGACTTTGTAACATGCAAAATGGGAGCTTTTGGACCTTTTTAACAATTAGGTTCAGACCTGGCACAAATTAGGTTCAGACCTGGCACAAAGTTGCTTTCTCCCCTCACCTGCTGCCACCAGAAACACAGTCTCCAAAGCAAGGTACAGAAGTAGCTTGAATTCAAGGGGAAGAAGTTACACTAGGTTCTAAGTAATGGGCTGAATGGCTCCCTGGGCCACCTTCCTCATTAGCTTCCACAGGTGC